ATCTGAAAACTTTATAACCTGTTTTTGCTGTTATTTTCTCCTTATTCTCACTCTTATTGCTCTGTCTCCTCATGTTTGATTATATTTGACTGTATGCTGATCATTGCCTTTTAAAAATTATTCCTGAGAATCCTGGGGCTAAGAAAGAAGATGCCTTCCTCCAAAAAGTATCTGCTTTTGCCTCTGCTATCTGAAGATACCATGTAATATTACCCACTCTAGAACCATTTTAAACTAGGGATTCTTGGAATGACTCACTGATGCATTTTGGACTGAAAATCCATGTGAAACTCCCCACCATGGTCAGACCATCTTAAAGATACGTTTGCTTTTTTTCTTTTTATCTTCTGCTCTGCCTCAGCACCAAGGCAAATTCAATGGTGCCCTAGGGGTGGGGAAGGGGAAACAATTTTCCTTCTGATTTACATTTACTAGAAGGTTATAGCCCTTGGAGGAGGATGGTCCCAGCTAAATATGGAGAGGATTTCATTTCATCTCTCCACCAACCATAGGCATGGCCCTGGGCTTTCCCTTTATCTCCCTCCACAAACTATTAAAACTTCACTTGATTTTTCTGGATTTGGCTTTGATTTCTCTCTTCCTCGCGAAGCTATCAAAACCTTGATTTAATTTCATTAGAATTTGGCCTTAGACAAAAGGAGATCACTGTGTTGTGCTTACTTTTCTGGATTCTTATTTTTTCTCAGCTTTTGGCTTGGAAGTATCATTAACAACATTCGCTAATTTCTCATTTTCAAAATACACAATAAGATATTCAACTTAGCAATTCCACTTCTGGGTACATATCCAAAAAATGAAAAGCAGAGACTCAACAGATATTTGTATACCCATGTTCATAGCAGCATTATGCACAATAGCCAAAAGGTAGAAGCAACCCAGATGTTCTTCCAAGGATCAATGATTGAACAAAATGTGGTCTATATATAAAATAGAATATTATTCAACCTGAAAATGGAAAGGAATATTGACACATGCTACAATATGCATGAAGCTTCACATTACACGATGTGAAATAAGCCAGTAGCAAAAGGACAAATACTGTATAATTTCACATACATGAAGTACCTAGAGTAGTCAAATTCAAAGAGACACAAAGTAGAATAGTGATTGCCAAGGACTAGGAAGAAGGAAGAATGGAGAATTATTTCTTAATGGGAGTTTCAGTTTAGAAAAATGAAAACATTTCTGAAGATGAATGATGGTGATTGTTGCACAACAACGTAAGTGTACTTAATGCCACTGTACTTAAAAATGGTTAAAATGGTAAATTTTATATTCACATACCAGAATTTTTTAAATTCTTATTCAAATGATGAATTTTTTTTTTTACCTTTACATTTACTTAAATACATAGAATGAATACTATTTATATGCTTAATAGGGACACCTTCAGCAGGTGCTTTGTGGTTAAGTGTCAAGTCTGATAGTAAATAGACAAGCCCTTACTCTTGAAAAGCTTTGAGTCTGAAATATATTTTCTTTATTTATAATTATATGTGAAGAAAACAATTACAATATATTGGAAAAAACAGCAAGATACAAGAAATAAAACTAGGCCTCATTTGGCTTTTTACTCCCAGGGTCAAGGCTCATAAATACATAAATTTCATATTGCTTCAATACAGATATCTTTAAATAAAGCTTTTTCATATATTACTATAATATAGAATTATATCTCCAGTTAATTTTCAAAAGCTATGGTAATATCTTCAAATGTGAGCAATGTAAAATAATCTGTTAAATTTATAAGATTTCACTACTATGCACTTATTTTATTAAAAAGTTCAATTAGAGAATACAGTACTTTTAAATTAAATTCTGAACTAGTTTTACCAATATCAATGAAGTACTTTTCACAATATAGTTAAGAAGTTAAAAAAAAATAAACAACTTTAGAAAACACACAAATTCCTTCTCCAGGGTGGGCTGTTTGTGCTACCATGAAAGGAGGAGGGAGGAACAAAGGGAAGATGCAGTGTTTTACTTGTCAATGTCCACCGAAACCTTTACCTAAGTCCTCCAGCTCCCTTTGCCACTCTTAACTTGAGGACAGTCACTTTATAAGCAACTGCATCTACACCCATCTTAATCTCTTTCATGCCATTCTCAAAGAACAAGTATTCTTCCTCCTGCCATAAGGTCCCTTTATAACTTTGTGATATGTATTTTTACATTCTC